TAACACTCTACATCACACACACAACTTGAGACCAGTTACTCTGTTAGTAGCAGAAATTCATTGATCATCAAATACAGGGCAAGCATGGCTATACATAATAATTTTGAGTGCAATGCAATCCTAGAAATTTAATATATATACTTTATTTAAATGATGCAAACAGCCATATGAAATTGCTTATGATTAGAAAACAGGATGAACTCATCTTGCCTACTGCTTGGTTTCTCATAAACATGAGTACATAATATTGTTGTGCACTGTTGTCCATAGATGTCTTTTTACGTAAAGGGTAAGTATCATTAATTAAAATTGTTTTGGAATTATGCATGTTATTTTTGTTTCATCAGATTTGTGCCCCCAATTAAATAACATTTTTACAAAAAAAGAGAAAGTATCAGAAACTTGTATTAATTTTGAAAAAAAAATGAAGTGTAGAACATATTACTAGATAGGATGTCATTCCACTGGTCTATAAAAACAAAAGCAACTGTTCTTGAAAAATTGAAGCATTACCTTGTATAATTAATAAAGTACATCAAATCAGATTTGTAAATAAAATATTGTTTAAATCTAAAGTATTCAATATTTTGATTAGATTATTTTTTTAAGGAAAATATTTAACGTGTATGTGCTGGATTTTTTTTTAAATAGTTTTTTATAATTGCGATGGAAGGGCAATTGTCTCATTAAAAGTGGTGCAGAGGCCAATACTTGGGTTGCCATTAGATATATAAACAAGTGAAAACTGTGGAACAAGTTTTAAGCTCATTTTGGAAAAAAAAAAAAACAGTTCTGTAGAAATGCATATTTGTATTTGTTTCTCTAATAAATCTGCAAATAGCTTTAAACACAAATTAGTTTTAATTATTTAAACATGAGTTCTGTTAAGTAATTTAATACCTGTTTTGCCTTACATTGTGTGAAAATGTTGTCCTGTGGAAATGAATACAGGCTTATTGTGAAATCAAGGTAGGTCTGCATCTGAAAAGGCCAGGCATTTAGCACTTGGGTGTGTTTACCTCTATGAAATCATTGAAGAATTTGCGTAGAAGACAGTACTGCCCCATATTACATCAGCTTATCTGCTGCTGAAATGCATAGAGGATCAACCAGTTTGAATCTGCGTTAACTCAGTGGCAAGTAAAAGACCAACAAGTAAGTGAAATCACATCTGAATGTTTGATAAACAAACTCACGTTGGCAGTGCTCTTCCTCACACAGAGCAAGGACATAGTGTGGCTGCTTGGCTGTAGAGGCCTGGTCTTCATGAGTGTGATTTACACCTGATTAAAAGTATTGCCCCTGGTGACATGTATTCTCTGAAAATAATGAATGTTGAAGATGTTTTTGGATATCATGCAGTCATCTTTCTGTTGTTAATATAGCATCTCCACCTTGAAAATGTTTGAAGAAGATAAAAATACATGAAAATCACTCGTGTCCAGTTTCCTGTTTTTGTTTTTTGTTTCCATTTCCTTTCTGGCGGAACAAAACTACTGTCGGTGGAATACTCCATTGAACCTCCCAGCCCTATAGAACTAACTACAAAGAAGATTCAAATTACATAAATTATTTGGCTTGGCTGATTTATTTTCAATTTGTAAAATATTTGCGAACATCTAGATAATGAAACGTTAAGCATTTCCATTGGTTCATCAGTTTTATAGTTTTTGATATATACCAAAAGTACTACATTTTAACTAATAGGTAGTTGTACCAGTTTCCTTTTGAAGATAGTCTAGACCAAATCCACAATGATGACATCCCAAAACAGTCACATTTTTATTGTGCTTTGGTATTTTTTTCTAAATATTTAGGTGGACCAGGTCCATAGTAGAAAATGTATTTTATTGAAATAATCCAATATACTTAATACTTGGATAGTCTTGGTGACTGTGACATTTTATATTGTCCTTTTCAAAAGTAAACTTCGGAGGAGATTCTAGCTAACGAAAGACTACTGGCTTGATCAACCAAGGTCAACCCTGTAAACCAAAGCATGATTCTTAGAGTTTGAACCTTACTCAAGAACTGAATTGTAATTTGAACACATACTGCCATAGCAAAAATCTCTTCATAAAAGCTCAATCTTGTTTTCTAAATATGATGAGGGTTAAGAAAATTCTACACAGTATATTTTAAGTTATATAAAGCATTTATGACACTTAATCATTTTCTGTCCACCACCTCATAGACACAACCCTTAAATTTCTTTAGAATTTAACATATTAATACTATCAAGATATATGGTAATTTTTCCTTTTTTTCTTATTTTTTGTTGTTGTTGGTTTGGTTTGGGATTTGGGTTTTCTTGCTGCATTTTTATGGGTTCATTTTGTTTTCTATTTGTGTGGGGTGTTTACACATAGATTTAAAATAAAGGCAATTTTCATAACTATTTGCCCCCAGACTAGTGGTATAAAAAGTGATTTTTAAATGACAAGTGCTATATTCCCAATGCTTTTAGAACTAAAGAGAGAAATTTAGAGGTTAAACTTCCTATATTTAATTTTACTATATCGGAAAATATAACGTGTGTTTGTGTGACATTCTTAATCTGTACAAATATTCGTAAAACTGGTTTTCTATCTTCTTAGCAGATAGGTGGCCACATAGAAATATCATCAGTAGCTGAGGAGTCTGCTTCTTCTTCAAAGCCATACATAATTCCTTGCACAGGCCCTGATGCTCATGAACACACTATTCCTGTGAACATTTGAAACTTTTTATTTGGATTTTAAAAATGCGATCTGTCTTCATTTAGTACCTCTTTTAAGACCAAAAGTATTGCTTTAAAATATTATACTATTTCTTTGTTGTCTTCTTAAGTTTGTTTTATTTTGTTTATCAGCTTTTGACTCTAAAATAACTTTTATTTATATGTTTAAGATATTTGTTGAATTTATGGACCAATGGTGAATTTTCTCTATAAGTTTTAGAGGAGATATTATGTGTTGATGTATTCAGTCATCATTAATTTGCAAAAATAAAATATGTGAAAATGTGAATCTGTTTACAATTTGATTTCATATGAACATCATTTTGAAAAACATGTTAGATTTTCAAATACCTGACT